GGACTCCCAGCCACTGCGCCACCAGGGAAGCCCTCAAGCCTCTATCTTGAGAGAGAGAGAATCTGCTGGAAGTCTGTAAAATGGCTGTTCTGCCCACTTCCGGCCTTTGAGATGAAACACCAGTGGTGTTGAACCTCAGCAGAGCACAGGTGAAGGGTGAAGGGCCCGTGGTCCACTCACTGGTCCCTTCGCTCCCTGCGCAGCACGGGTGGTACTCGCCCATTTTTCATGTGACAGGTCTGAACCTTGGCAAGGTTAGGTGGCCCTAACTCCCGAGTACCTCCATACCCAAGGCTCTCTTGCCTTATTTCTACGTCTACCATCTTTGACAAGGACACCTCATGACATGCAGATGAGGGCTCCTCTGGGGCCATACAGGGTGGAACGTTATGGGGGAGGGGGGAGAAAGTGCCCCTTGCCCCCAGGTGAATGGCTGTTGTCACATCTCATAGGCCTGGTCTGCGAGTCGCTATCAGAGTTTAGCTACTTTTGCTTAAGGTGTGGTGAGCACTTTGCATCACCTCGTTTAGTCCTAACCTCAATCCTGCTCGACGTACATTATTCCTGAGGCCGAAGGACATGAAGCAGCCGCCCAAGAACTGAGAGGACCGGCAGCAAAGAGGTCAAGCATGCCTGCGTTCGAATCCTAACTCCACCACTTAACTAGCTGTGGTATCTCGGGCAAGTTCTGTGCCACAGTCTCTTCGTCTGTAAGATGGGGCTAATAATTGGTAGCGTGTCCTGAAGATTAAACAAGTTAATGGGTGTAAAGCACCTTGGAGACTGCCAGACACATAGGGAGCACAGCATAAAAAAACTACTGCCTAATTGTTATTAGCTACCATTCAAGCCTTGGAGAGCATGACTTGGCAGCCTGGCCCTCCCATCACCCTCTCTGCATCTCCTGAGAAAGGCAGCAGGGCCCGGCTCCAGGCTGAGGCCGGGGCTGGAGTCTGGAAGCAGAGCAGACAGAAATGCGTAGGAGTCTGGGTTGCAGCTGCACACACGACACACTAACTTTATTCACATTGATACAAAAGTAGATTTTTCTAGAAATGTTCTCTTGTGCCATGGGGAGAGAGTTGAGTGGCATGTGGTGGCGAGAGGGCCGGGGGAGGGGGTAGGAAGGGCAAGGGCCAGAGTGTGGGTCGTGGAGGCAGGTCAGCGGGCAGCAGGGGCTGGGAGAACAGGAAGAGCTGGACATGGTGGCCCCTCCGCCCCATTCTAGCCACACCGGAGGGTGGAGGGCGTCCACACAGACATATTGGGAGCATCCAGAGTGGTGGGAAATGGGGGCCAGGGAACTCGGGCAGGAGGCAGCTCTGGGGTGGAATTGCTGATTTTCTCTCCTCCTGGCCGGCTGCCAGCTCCCCCACAGGACTGATGCCAGGGCTCCCGGCGTGCCCCTTCCCACTTCCCCTTCTTTACACACTCCTCTTGGAAGGGCTAGACATGCCCAAGAGGGGCCAAGGTGGCAGGTGGGGAAGTGAGGAGTGAGTACACAGATGCTCACATAGCAAAGAGGGAGCAGAGGCTGGGCTGCCCACGGAGGGGGCCCCAAGGGTCTCACTGGGGCAGGGCCTTAAGGATGGCATTCACCTCCTCCGCCACAGCTGTCAGGGCAAATTCAAACTGGTCCTGGGGAAGGGCAGGGGGAGGAGGGTCAAGGGGGGTCCTGGCCTCTGCTCCTGCGCCGGGGGTGGGGGGTGCTTTGGGGAGGTCACTTGTGCGGGGGGTGGTGTGGGGGTGGAGGGAGCCCTCCCGGGGGAAGGGTATGGAGGCAGGCAGGAGAGGCCGGCTGCTGCCACTTTGGTTGGGGAAGGGTGGTGGCTAGGGTGGGTGGAGGGAGGAACAGTTACCTTGGAGCGGACGAGGCCAGGCCGCTGGTCACGGACATGCTCCAGGGTGGCAGCGATGTCAATCTCCTTCACTCCTGGGTAGGGGGAGCACGGGGCTGCTCAGGGGGTGTCCAGAGGAGGGTAGGACCCCGAAAGCCTAGGGCATCCTGGGGTGGGAGGCTTGGAGGACTGGAGAAAGCCTGGGGGTGTGGCAACCTGCCCTCCACGAACTACTGTGATCCCAGGGGCTGGGGAGACTCTAATCAGAGCCTGGGCTGTGGGCGAACTGTGGCCGGGGAGAAGGGTGGTCGTCACCTTTTGCCATGCGGTTCAGTACCATGTCGATGAGGATGTAGGTGCCAGTCCTTCCTGCACCGTCACTGAAAGAGGAGATGGTGACAGGCTGAGTTTGGGACCCAGAAGGAACCGGGAGGAGAGGGGGAGACTGGTGGAGCTGTTAGGGTTAGCTGGGGACAGGGGTGGGATGAGTGAGCGGAGGATGAGGGAACGGTCATAGCCCCTGGGTCCTGGGAATTGGGCCTCAAGTGGGGAGCCTGTGACCCATGGGGTGTCTCTTGGGCAGTGAGCTAACCGAAAAGGATAGCCCTGGCTCTGCCCTGAGGCAGAGGCAGCAAGAGGGAATAGCTTTCTCCAGCCTCTGGCCAGGCTTTCATTCAGCAAACTTCTTATGTAAATGACAAGATGGTAAATATTTTCAACTTTGTGCGCCACGTATAGTCTCTGTCAAACGTTCTTTTTTTTTTTTTCTTCAACTGTTTAAAAATAGGAACATCATTCTTAGCTCATGGGCCATTAAGAAAACAGATGGTATGCTGAATTTGGCCCACGGGCTGTAGTTTGCTGGCATCAAGGGGACAGGCAGGCAGTGTGCTTGGGAGGTGGGCTGAAGGAGCAGGACCAGAGAGGGGGTGGGAACCAGGAATGC